GTATCGTGCAAGGATTACGAGGAGGCGCCCGCTTTGCACGTTGCATGGTGCATTTTATCCTCCAGCAAATTTCGACGGCCCACGTGGGCATGTCGATGTGGATCTGGATTGACGATCTTTCTCAACGGGCCCTTGGGTCACGTCGAGTTGTCAGAGCTCAATTGTTTTGCGTTCTTCGGGGTGCATGCAACGAGCTCGGCGAGGTTGGTCCCAAGGCGTCGCCTAAAAGTGTGCTGATGTGCTCCAGACCCGCGGACGGGCGTTTTGTCTCACGGCAGCTGCAGAAGGTAGGCATCTGTGTTTCTGCTGTTCGGCAGGCCCCGTATCTCGGCGTGGACCTTGGGAACGGTCGGCCAGCTAGGCAGGTGCGACATAAACGGCAAGCGAAAGCCAGCGGCATGAACGCCAAGATTCGACGTTTCGCTCGTGCGTCCAAACAATACCTCGTGACAGGCCGGCTCGAGAGAGCTGGCGCCCAGGCTGCAGGATCGCACGGCCACCAAGTGTATGGAGCGTTTGGATGTTACCGTCAGCAGTTTCGTCGTCGTCTTGGGGCCTCTTTGGGTTCTAAGGCCAAAGGGAGATGCCTCACCACTCTTCTCGATCTTAAAGTTCCAGGGCAAGATCCAGGAGTTAAGTTTCCTAGAGATGCACTTCGTTTATGGCTGTCTGTCTGGTTCAGTACTCCAGCAATTCGGCCAATGGTCAACCTGGCGTGGCCCCGTATCGTCGAACAACTTCGTAGCATATCGCCGTCGCAGGTTTCTCGGCAGATCAGGGGGCCCATAGCGGCCATTATTGGATACCTTCTGGAGGCTGGTTGGGACCCGCAGGCGCCGAACCTTTGGGACACTCCTGATTTCACGTGGAAGTTTTCGGAGTCCGACCTCTCGGGCTTTGAGGATTACTCAGACATTCTCGACGACTTTGAATCCGCATTTCAAGTTAGGTGCTGGTCTCGCGCGTCTTTTCATTATTGCGGGGAGGGGATGGCCGACGGTGTTGACAATGCTAGCTACCGTAAGTTCATCCAGGGTCTCCGCTTGTGCAAGAACGGTCATAGGCTCGCGGAGGTCATGGTCAACATAGCTACGGGGGGATTCTGGCCACGGCAGCGAGTCGCCGACGAGACCAGAACCAAGATAGATGTTCAATGCCATCGGTGCCACGACGGTGCTGAGACAGCGTTTCACCGTTTTTGGACATGCAAATGCCATAAGAGTGCGAAGGCCTTTGTCGATTCCGACTACCTGGCCCCGCGCGCTCAGACGTTGCACGAGAGCGAGGCTTGCTATTGGCTCAGAGGCTTGATCCCGAAGGCTTGGACGGCGATCCCCCCACCTTCGGACGTGCCCTCTTGGCTGCTCTTCAACGGTACTAATGATGATCAGTTGCATGGTTCCTTTTTGGGCCGTGGGTGTGAAGATTGACCGCTTGTGGTATTCGGTGATGCCAGTGGCGGGCCAGATGCACGTGAACCTCGCTTTCGTCGCATCGGCATCGCAGTCGCCAATATGAGCTCTTACAGTCCCCCAAGTGTCCGCTCTGCTATCCTCGGGCCTCTTCCTGGGCGTAGGCAAACAGTACCTCGTGGGGGATTTTACGGGCTCCTTCTGGCTATTACGTACAGTACGGGATCCCTGATCTATGTTACAGATAACTCTGCCGTCGCCGACGGATGGCATGCTGGGCTCTATCTAGAACCATCGGGGGACAACATGGGGATCTGTGACATGATCAGGAAGCAGCTCAGAGACCAGGACCGTGACACGTCACAGATTGTGGTTCTCCAGGTTGCATCCCATTTGACGGCAGAAGAGGAATTAGAAAAGAAAGTACCTCTGTTTCTCACGGTTGGCAACACGGTGGCGGACGTTTTGGCTGGAGAGGCCGCGAAGTCCGCTCGACTCCCCGAAGCATTGCGTGCGAAGATCTGGACGGTGGAAAAAGACACCCTGTTCCTCAGGCGTCGCCTCCTCCGCGCGGGCCTTGAGGCCCTCAACGCTGCAGCTGCCGCGAAGCCCCCCACCTCGAGGAGTTCGACACAGGCGGGGCCTTCTCTTCCTCCTCCTCCCCCCCCTCCGCCATCGGTCAATGTTGTCACTGCGTTCGAGATGGACCACGCTCTGGATGAGAGCGGGAAGAGGTGCCGTCGTTGTCGGGGATCTGCCACTGACGCGGCCTTGATAAGGTGGCGTCGGTCCCCGTGCTTTCTGCTCACTCCTGGGGATGCTCATGTTTTCCACCTCCCTGTCGGTCAGCACTTGCATATAGGTGGGGGCTGGGTGCACGACACACATCACATGGCATTTCATTGCGTCCTCGGTGTATGGTTCTGCAGTAGTTGCGGTTGCTATAATAGTGAGCACACTAGTCCTGGTCTTCAGGGTCTTTGTAAGCCTCGTCAGCTCACCGGTACTCGGAGGGAATATCTTCGACGAATCAAGCGTGGCGAATGGCCGAAGGCCCTGACTCGCGCCCAGCAGGCAGCAAGGGCAGCGAGGTAGTTTCAGTTGGATCACTCCGTGATAGCGCATTCTCATTCTCATTCTCCTCCTCCGCCTCCTCCTCCTCCTCCTCCTCTTTCTCCTCCCGCCCACCTCCGCCGCCGCCGCAACCGAATCCTCCTCGGTCTCCATCGCTGCCGCCAGCAGGGCCGCGCACGCCGCCGCGCCCACGCCGCCGTTGGCGCCGCCGGGGGTGGGGCTGACGGGCGTAGCGGCGGCTGGCACGGGCGGAGGCGGCGCCGCCATGACGGCGACAGCAGCGCGCAGGAGGTCCTCGGCGGCGCGGACGAGGCGAGTCGCCTCACGACAGTCGGCGCCGCCCGACAGCCCAGCGGCCGCATGCATCGCCCGGAGGGCCCCGCCCGCGGACTCGAGCGGCGCGGCAACGCGAGCCCGCTGCGTCGGCGGCAACAGCAACGACGCGGGAATGTCGGGCGCAACCCAGCAGGATAATGCGTGAGCCAAAACCAGCTAGAGGAGCAAGGAGGAAAGGGAAGAGAAGGATGGCGTGGAGGAGGGGAGTGGGGACAGGAGGAGGGGGAGGAGGATATAGAGGAGGAGGAGGAGGAGGAGGAGGAGGAGGAGGAGGAGGAGGAGGAGGAGGAGGAGGAGGAAAAAAATAGGAAAAGGAGGAATAGGAGGCAGAGGAGGGATACGAGGGGAGAAGAAGAGAGGGGGATGAGACAAGCTAGTTGCGCTCGCGTCATATCTGACGTTATACCCCTCCCTCCCATCCCTTACCATGGCGTAGATCTGTTCTCTATTCGCACAATTGGATGTCGTAGCGTCTCATAACATTGGGAGACCATGTTTAAGATTTTTGGGCTGATTTGGAAGGACCGAAACAATGCCGTGGCATGGTACTGGAAATAATGACGCAAACGTTGCAGTTGGAGCACGATTCGGAACGAGCGGAAGCGCGGAAATGAGGCCAGCGTTGCAGCGGGAACACGATTCGGAACGAGCGGTGGCCCGAAAATGAAGCCAGCGCCTCAGCGAGAGGAGCATTTTGAAATAAAGACCCAAGCGAAAACTTGTTTCCCGGAGTTCTTGTGTGACAAAACCAGTACGCGGAGGGGGGGCGGCCATTTCCTGGACGTCACCAGGGGAAGAGAGGAAAGTAGTATTCATAGTGCGTCACTACAGAAGAGGACGAGGCGAAGGGTGAGGAGGATGCGGAAGAGAGGGAGGAGGAGGAGGAGGAGGAGGAGGAGGAGGAGGAGGAGGAGGAGGAGGAGGAGGAGAGGAGGAGGAGGAGGGAGGAGGAGGAGGAGGAGGAGGAGGAGGAGGAGGACCCCCTCTCCTCCTCCTCCTCCTCCTCCTCCTCCTCCGCCTCCTCCTCCTCCTCTCCCCTAAGCCTCGCTCCAGGCATCTTCAAGATCTGCTCTGGTCCCCACACGATACCCTGGCCCCCACACGGTGGGGGCCATCAGGCAGGCAAACCGTTCGAGGCATTCCCACAGTCTGAGCGCGAACGGCCGAGCGTCTTAATCCTTGGCGGCTCGCTTGGGGTGTTGAAGCCAGCGCCTCGTTCGAGACAGTTTCTCAATCTGCTCTGAAATCAGAGACGTCCAAGCAACCAAACAAGCAAGCAAACCTCTCGAGAGGTCCCCTCAATCTGGCCGCGAACGGTCCCGTGAACTACCCCCTGGCGGGGCCTCTTTGGGGGATTGAAGCCAGCGCCTGACTTGCGACATCGAAGACAGTTGTTCTGAAAGCAGAGGCGCCCAAGCAACCAATCATGCAAAACGCTCGAGACATCCTAACGCTGTGGTCGCGAACGGTCCCGTGCAATACCCCCTGGCGGCCCCCCCCCGTCCTCTGGCGGCCCCCTTTTGAACCAGCGTCTCGCCCGAAACATCCTCACAATTGGCTTTCAAAGCGGCGAAATCCAAGCAATCAAACAAGCAATCTGCTTGAGAAATCCCCACAATATGTGAGCGAGTCTGAGTGCGATTGAGTCTGAGTGTAGGAATATGAGTGTGATTGAGCCTGAGTGTGAGTTAGTCTGAGTGTGAATGAGTCTGTGTGTAAGTGAGTCTGAGTGTGAGAGAGTCTGAGGTTGAGTGAGCCTGAGTGTCAGTGAGTCTGAGTGTGAATGAGTCTGAGTGTGATTAAGCCTGAATGTGAGTGAGTCTGAGTATGGTTGAGTCTGAGTGAGAGTGAGTCTGAGTGTGAATGCTTCTCAGTGTGAGCGAGTCTGAGTGTGAGTGAGTCTGAATGCTGAGTCAGAGAGAGAAAGAAGCGGTGGAGGAGGAAGGACGAGGAGAGGAGTCGAAGGACGATGGGCGCCCAGGAGCGCCCAGCAATTCCGGGAATTTCGTGTACCAGGCCCGTGATAATGTTACAGAGTGTGTATCGAGTTCTCAGAATTGCATGCGTTGTGTGGCATTCCGCTACGTGCTTGAAGGCACGGTTGCGGATTCAACGTTCTTCATGGTAGCGCGATAGTAGTAGAGCAAGCGGGACACATTTGCAGCCACACCTCCCCAGGTTCTCGCCGCCTTGGAGAACCCTTCGGAGGACGCGGAGGACTTGGCGGCCCGCCTCACGAGGGAGAGGTAGCAAATCAGTTCTGGCGAACACGCCAACTGTACATCCACACCCATCCTTGCCAGGCCGATCCTGAACCCAGGCTTGTTGTGTAGGCCTCCCTGCCCAAGCCAGGAGTCCTTGCACACCGATCCTGGGCCTGGGATGAGCCTGGCCAGGATCGATGCATGTGTATAGTTGGGACAGGCAGGGAGAGCTGCCGATACATCGAGGCAGCACAAACATGGATGAAGGCGCGTGGTTTAGCGACAGGTCCCGCTCCCATATAGAATCGGCACGCTCCGTCGCCAGAACAGGCGACACTGGCTTGATGTTTCGGGGGTACTCTGCCCGATCCGTGGGTCAGGCGTCCACGCGCCAGAGCCGCAAGATTCGTAATCCACGCTAACGTGCGCCAGAGGCAAGGTCAGGAGGGGGGGCACGAAGAGGAGGGGGAGGACGAAGAGCAGGGAAGAGGAAGAGGAGGAGAAGGAGGTGCGCAGGATGAGAGAAGAAGGAAGAGAAGGAGCAGGAAAACCAGGATGAGGAGCAGGTGGATCAGGATCACCTCCATGGTATGCCGACGAAGAAGAGGTGCAGCAGGAGGGAGGACGAAAAGAGAGGAACAGCTTCTGTCGTTACGACACCACAACCCACAATCAGCACTCCCCAGAACTTCCGACGAGCGAGGAACACTGAACAGGGAGAAAGGAAACAGTCAACGTCCCAACCAACAACAGCAACAACAACAACAACACCAACAACAACACCAATAATTTGAAGACTGTTCGCTCTTATCTGCTCGAGTGTCATTCAACGTGTATTTCTCAAACCCTCGATGCCCGCCCTCTTCGTCTTCGATCGCTCCCCCTTTGGGTGGTGAAGTTTGCTTCCCAGCAGGCCAGGCCCAGCTCACGGCGCGGCGGCCGCGGACCGTCGGCCTGGCTAGCGGCAGCGCTGACCGGCGGCAACCCGATCCCAAGATGGACGGACAGGGGGCCGACCACGACGACGACGACGACGACGACGACGACGAGCGAAATCGAGAGACACAGAGAAAGAGAGAGAGCGACAGCGACAGCGAGAGCGACTGCGGGGCCACGAAGGGCAGCGATGGAGCGACAGCGGGGCCACGACGGGCATGCGTACGGGTCACGAAAGGCGCGAACGAGCGGGGGCCACGAAGGGCAGATAATGCGGGGCCACCGAGGGCGACGACGAGTCCACTGAGGGTAGCAACGGGGCCACGCAGGGCAGCGAGGGAGGCGCGAAGGGCGACGGCGGGGCCGCGAAGGTCGCGCACGTGGGGCCACGACGGGCGCGAACGAGCGGGGGCCAAGAAGGGCATGCGCATATTGGGCCGCAGAGGGCAAGGGCGGGGCCACCGAGGGCTGCAGCGGGGCCACGGAGGGCAGCGAGGGGGCCACGAATGCGACGGGGCCACGAAGGGCAGCGAGATCCCGAATCCTGAGTAAGTTGTGAGGAAGTCCGCGTGAGCGCGAGTCTTGGGTGCGTGGGTGTCGGGAGCGCGGCGTTTGAGTAGATTTCGGGGAATTCCAACGCAAGTTTTCGATTCTTGAGTAAGTTGCAAGCAAGTTTCCAGCGAGAGCGCGACTCCAGAGCGCCGAGAGAACGATTCCTGAATAAGTTAGAAGGAAATCGAAAGCGAGAGAGCGATTCCGGAGTAAAATGCGAGGAAGTCTCAGACGGGAGCGTGGGTCCAGGCTAAATTCTGAGGACGTCTCAGGCGGGAGCCGTTGTTGTTGTTGTTGTTGTTGTTGTTGTTGTTGTTGTTGTTGTTGTTGTTGTTGTTGTTGTTGTTGTTGTTGTTGTTGAACATTATTAATTCTAAAGAATAATTATTGTTGGGACCCCTGGTGCACGGCCCCCCTGCGCCGCCTAGGCCGCAGCTACATTTTCATCATTTTCGTGAGGAAGCCTCAGGTAATTCGATGTGATCAAGATCCGGTTGTTTTGTTGTAATCCGCTTTCCCTTGCAAAAAACACTATAAAATGACATTTCTTGTTCTAATATAATCAAATTTCAAGAATCCCTTGCAAAAAATAAGGTAAAGTGGACATTCGCGCGCGCAAGACGAAATCCTTCCAAAAGCTTAGTGTTCGCAGCGATTTTAACATAAAAACATCAAAAAACCAATGGTTTTTCAACAAAAAAATGTCAAAATCTCATCCCGCGCGCTCTTGCGGATTCGTAGGAAACCCAACACTTTTTAAACATTTCTGTCAAACGGGCTTTTGCGAGCAACTTTTTCGAACTTCTGCGACAACGGTTGCGCACCTGCCAGGGCCATCATCCCTGTCAAATAATACCATGCGGGACACATTCGTTTTTTCTTCGCGCGCGCACGCCGTCGTCGTCGGCCGCGGGGCCCTGAATAGTAGCCACGGTCGTCCGCATGCCACGAAGTGAAGTGTCCGAACGTCATAGGGCGGGAAGCTGGGTGTGGGTGGTGGCGAAGAGTCGTTTGGATATTTGGTAGAGCTTGAACCGGCCCCCCCACAAAGTGGGGGTATTGGCTGGCGTCGCATGAAAACCCTGGCACTGGTGAGAACACTGAGCGTTCGGGTAAAGTGATTGTTGTTGTTGTTGTTGTTGTTGTTGTTGTTGTTACCCAGGGGCCAGGGGGGCCGTTTCACCCTTATGATCACCCCTGGAAAAAGGAAAACGAAAAAGGTGCGAGCCCCAGGGAAAGTACTTCAGTTGAAAAAAACGCAATGGTCACTGGTGGGGGGACCAAAAATATGTACGTTGGTCAGTAATGGGAGTTTAACCACGTAAGCAACAACAGCAGCAATAACAGCAGCAGCTGCAGCAACAACAGCAACAAGCATGTGATGACTGGTCGCTTGTATCTGCGCGCGCGCCACCCAACACGTATATCCCAGATTCTCGATACCCGCCCTTTTCGTTTTCGATCGTACCGCATTGGGGGTATATCCTTCCTACCTGCAGCGTGTATTTCATGCAGCCCCATACTGCAGGGGACGAGAGGACGAATGGAAGAAAGGGACAAGGGGGAAGAGGAGGATGGAACACGAGAGAGAAAGTAGCAGGAGGGGGGCGAGGAACAGAAAACACGTGGCAGAACCAGACGGGCACATCGGGCGGGCAGACCCTAACAGGCGGGTCGGGAAGGCGAGCCCGGGCGGCCAGGTCGAGCAGGCGGGCAATTGAAGCGTGCGCCCCGCATGAATCCCGAGTCTCGAGTACATTGCGCGGACGTTCCACGCCAGAGCGCGATTTTTGCATAAATTGTGAGGACGTCCCGCGCGAAAGCAGGATTTGGAATAATTCGCCGTGAAATCTCAGGCGGGGGCCGTTGTTGTTGCAACTCGGGGGCCAGGGGGCAATTCTGAGATCCCAGATTTTCTCTGGTGAACAGGGTGCGAGCCCCTTGGAAGGGAACTTCGACGGGAAAATACACTGTGCCCCGGAAGGGGGATCAACTATATTGATAGTTCAGTAATGAGAGTACAACAAGATTAGTCGTTTTACTCGAATGTTTGATGGTCCTACTTGGAGCACGCGTCCATCATGATAGCTCCCCCCTCATGGAGGATATTGCCTTGCACCAGGGGGGCGATATTCCCTTACCCAGATTTCCTGCCGAGGAGGTGTTCTACACCTCTTCTGAAACATGTCAACATCTCCAGCCTAGATGGCACGTCGCCTTTGCAATCGCCCTGCCCATGCTTTGCCTCGGGGTATCACCACGCCCGAGTGGCCCAAAACGTTTTAGGAGAGGCCCCCCAATTCGAGGGAGAGCCCCCGGGCCCGTCGGACAGCCTTTGGAGACCGTTGGAGAGCCCCCCCGAGCCTCTCATAGAACCTTCGGAACCCCTGTGGGAAACATAAGGACCTTTCTGGGAGAAACTGCGCACTTTAGCTGGAGGATTTCCGGCCATGTTGGACAAGGTTTGGATCGGAAGAGCTGCTGAGCTTCGGGGAAGAAAGAGGGAGCAGGAGGAGGAGGGAAGAGAAGAGGGAGCAGGAGGGAGCAGGAGGAGGAAGAGAAGGAAAGAGAAAAGGAGGGAGCAGGAAGAGGAGGGAGCAGGAGGAGGAGGCAGAGAAGAGGAGCGGAAGAGAAGAAAAGGAGGGAGCAGGAGGAGGAGCGGAAGAGAAGAAAAGGAGGGAACAGGAGGAGGAGGAAGAAAAGAAAAGGGGGAGCAGGAGGAGGAGGAGGAGGAAAAAGAGGAGGAGGAGGAGGAGAAGGAGGAGGAGGAGGAGAAGGAGGAGGAGGAGGAGAAGGAGGAGGAGGAGGAGGAGGATCAACATGCCTCTGCGCGGGCGTTCGGCCGCGCAGGCTTCCGCGCGCGCCGACGCGCAGGCTTCGGGCCTCTTCAGAGGGCCCGCGCGAGCTCGTCGAGGCCCACCGCGAGGAATTCCCGTCACGGGGTTCTCACGGGAGAAGACCCCCGGCCACGAACGAGACGGCGACCACCGGCTCCACGAGCACAAGCAAGTTCTCCACCGTAGCCGCAGTGTACATGACGGGACGGGGAGGCGCCCCCCCCCGACCGGTCCCAAACCGCCGACCCGGCCAGGTGCCGCCAGCGAGCCAGCGTCGGCGCGGGCAACACGCGGCGCGCGTCGCAGTACGGCACCCCGCGCTGGACGAACACACCACGAGGTGCTTGACGTTGATCCGCCGCGCCATGGCCGTCCCCAAGGCCACGCGCCGCCGATGACGCCCATAGGGTGCGGGCTCACGGGACTTTGGCCGCCGTCCAGCGGCGTGCTGCGCGGGCGCCGAGCGCCGCGTTGGTGGCCAGGCGGCCACCCGGCAGGCGCTGCGAGCCGCGCAGCACGGCGTCCAGCGGCCCAGCACGACGACCATCGTGCTGAACGCGCCCAGCGGGCCCAGCACCACGAGGAGGGCGGGCGCGGGGGAGGGGAAGGGAGGCGGCGGGCGGCGGGCCCAGCAGGCGGGCCTGAGCCTGACCCGACTGGAGGAGGAGGACAAGGAGGAAAGGAGGAGGAGGAGGAGGAGGAGGAGGAGGAGGAGGA